ATTATGGAGATTGATTTTGGAATTCAGATGCACTCTTATTGATTGTGCTTGGCTGTACATGTTCATATCCTTGAAGATGTATCATGGGGGTGTTTGTTTTGTCTTGTTTTTTAAGTACTGGGTTGCTATCCAGCAGGTTTGTGGGGTTTTTTTATTTGTTTTTTTACATATTCAAGTACAGCTTTATATTTAAGGAGTGTTTACTAATATGTGATTTAAAAAAAAAAAAGTCATTCTTTTTGTTGTTGTTGCTACTGTTGTTTTTTAATTCATTTTTGCACATTTTCTTCCCCCACCTACTCCCCTAACCCCCCTTGCAGTGCACACCTTGTTCCAGATTGTTGTCATATGATAACCAAATCATCTATTCCTTTCGGACAGTTCTTCCCCTCATCCTTGTTTATTATCCTCTCTTTCCCTATTGTCTCCTCAACTCTCCCCCTCCACCATGTCTGTCCTATTTTATAACAGTGGTACCATGCAATATTTGTCCTTTTGTGATGGAGCTATGTCCTCCAGGCTCCCCCATGTTATGTAATGTTTTAGTTCAGTGTTTCTCAATGATGTGTAATATTCCATTGTGTGAATATAACATAGTTTTTCTATCCATTCATTTGTTGATAGTACTTGGGTTGCTTGTCTTTGCCATTGTGAAAAACACAGCAATAAACATGAGTGTGCATATATCTGTTTGAGTTGTGGCTCTGATTTCTTTAGGATATATTCCCAATAGTGGAATTGCTAGTCAATTGTTATTTCTATTTCCAACTTTTTGAGAAAGCACCAGACTACCTTTCATAGTGGTTGAACAATTTTACATTTTGACCAGCAGTCACTAAGAGTTCTGATCTTTCCACAATCTTCCCAGCATTTGTTGTTTTCTGCCCTGGTGAACTTTGCTTTTGCTGCTGGGGTGAGATGATATAGTTGTTTTGATTTGGAGCTCTCTGTTAACGAGTGATTTTGAATATTTCTTCATGTGTTTGTTTGCCATCTGAATGTCTTCTTTTGTTAAGTGTCTGTTCATATTCTGGGCTTATTTTATGATTGAGTTGTTTACCATTTCCTTGTTGAAGTGTAGGAGTATTCTATAAATTTTAGATATAAGTCCCTTATCAGATAATGTCATTGTCAAATTTTTTTCCTCCCAGTCTGTGGGTTTCTTTCTTCCTTATTGGAGAAGTTTTTGATGTGCATAGGGATTTGATTCTCAGAAGGTCCTGTTCATCTATTCTTTCTTTTCTTTTCCGGTGGTAGGTCATACAGGCTTCGTATATCTCCACTATGTTGACCGAAATTTTTTCCCCCCTCTGGATGGCCATCTTTGTACTAAAACTGTCACCATTTTGACAGTTTTTATTTTCCATTGGAAGCAAAGAGTTATTTAGAGAAAATTTTCCCTTTATAAATGTTCATGCTGTCAAAGGCAGAAAGACTCCTAGACAGCAGTACCAAAATAAGGCTTTCTCACAAGTCCCAGACCTTCCAGTTTGGGAAAATTATTTCTGCTTTGTTATTTATCTTAATTTTCCTTACTTTTTTTTTCTCCTTCTGGAAAATCATGACATACAATGGAAAATTATAATATTATTATTATTAAATTATAAGTCAGCAGTGTTGGTTGTCATTCCTCACACTCACTGTCCTTGAGTGATTTCAACACATGGAGTCCCTCCCTCAGGTTTCCAAGGCTGTTCATGTGAACAGGAGGAGGCTGCCCATCTCTGTCCCTCGGAGAAACTGGTGGAGTCAAGCCACAAGAGGTACACATCTTTTTGGTTAGTAACACAGCATGTACAGACTACCTCACCAGAGCAGCTTCTTTTATTATTATTTTTAATGAAAGTTTACAGAGACTTAGGGTTTTCAGTCATTCATTATTGCACTTTTCTCCCTCCTCACCCCTTCTCCCCTTCAATTCACTTTTCTCTTTGAAAAGTAAAAGGAAAACTCTTTCATTGTTATGCAATCCCTCCCCCCACCCCAAGTCCACTGTACTGTGCAGCCTTCGTTCTGGACTTCTATCATGACAATAATACCTAATCTTGTATCCCTTTTAAACAGTTCTTTCCCTCAACTGTTGCAATGCAGTATACAGCATTCCTCCCCTTCTACTTTGTCTTCCCTCAACCCCAGTGTCAGTCCTGTTTTACAACAGTGGTGCTATGCAATATTTGTCCTTTTGTGACTGAGATATTTCACTCAACATAATGTTCTCTAGGGTCATACACTTTGCATAATATTTCATGAGTTCCTTGTTTTTCAGTGCTGCATAGTATTCCATTGTGTGAATATACCAGAGCTTCTCTATCCATTCATTTGTTGATGGGCACTTGGGTTGTTTCCAACTCTTTGCTATTGTGAA